TCCCGCTTTTGTAAGATTTTTGAACTGCGCTTGTGGTTCTTTACACATTAGATATAAATTTACCTATAGTATTCAGCCCACTGCGCTGAGTAGTCAGGTTGTCCTGTCTGAGGATTGATAGTGGGCCCTGACGAGGTTGTACTTGAACTTTGCGATACTGTTGCAGGCTGCGCACCAGACTGAGGCACATAGGTGTATCCTTGCATATTTCCATAGGAATTCTGAGCGTTGGCTGCTGCTGCTCCTGTGTAGTACTGCCCAGCTTGATTTGCCCAACCATTTCCAGCATCAGCTTGTTGACCTAAATGTGGTAGTAGGCGCACGATCTTGCTAACAAATCTAATTTTCAACCAAATATACCATAAGTATTATTCCAAAGGCTAGCACCGTACTGTCCATTATACTGTGAGACACTAAAGTTACTACCGTTTGGTGCTCCAGCGCCGGTGAAAGGAGGCACAGGGGTGCCCGGAGCGATGTCGCCGACCTAGAAAACACACTTTAATGCTTCTACAATATTCGTAAGAGATCTAGGAACAGACTATAAAGATGTCATCTACTCATACCTTGATTCGAATAATATGTTGTGCATGATGAACTTGATATGGTGTGCCACGGATTATAAACACCTAAACGCAGCACTTGGGCATTATCTCGATCAACGCAATGATCACTCACACCCACCTTTTCCTGGGGATTCGGTGGAGGATCGCGAGACAATTCACAATGTGCACCACTTTCCGCGTTGATCTAGAACCAAGCTTTAGGGAAAACGAAAAACGAAAGCGAGTACCGCAAACGTCCACGCTTATATAACTTCCAAACAAACCTGCTTGATTGTCTCTCCACCTTTACCTATAACGAGACCCGTCTTGTTGGATGGAACGTGCATATAAAAAGCCTAAAGTACTCAATTAGGTATAGAGCAGGTAGATGTGGTCGTCACCGCTAGTTACTGTCATGATGTGCTTATCTTTACAGGGGATGAAGGCAATGCACACAAAGCTAGACTAAGCTTTATTTCCATCTTCAAGATTGCATGTGAAGAAATGGAACTAGAGGCAAAGGTGATATGTGCAATGATTCAACTTCCATTTCTTATCTCACGAAATTTAGAAAATGGCATCATGCAATGCAATAGAGACACCGCAACAAAGTAAAAAGCAAGGAAAACGATAAGTATTTGTTGTAAATCAACACAAACAATAACGAAAACAAAGGTTTTCCGATAGCACCGCAAAATTACCCGGAATACACAGTGTGAAAATGCCATTAGCAAACAACCACCACAACCACAAATCTCAACATTTTGACGTGCTTGTGAAAGTTAGTGGGTTTAGGTAGTGAGATTATCGCTATATTTTGAGATCAAACTGTCTCACTGTAATACACTGCAACTGCCTCAACCAAAGAGCACAGGTTAGCAACCGATGAAAACCAGCTGAAGCATTAATCGAACATCTATTAATTCTTTCTTATCAAACTAGCATGCATATATCCAACAAGGACAAGCAAAAGCGATATCAAATCTATGACCCTTAACATGAAGCAACAAAGGAGAAGCAAGGACAGGCATACAATGACTTTAACTCCTGTGACCGAAAAACGAAAATTAAGAGTTGAAAAGCACTTACTCCACATGAACCAACCTCTGTCTGACCGGTCATCATATTACCGCTACAGCTCTTATGTACCAACTCTGTGATAAGTTCAGTAGCTTTATATATTTGCTCTCTTGAGCCCATAATAACAGCACATCGATCAGGAGATGTGGGGTCATCTGAAACCAAAGATATAATCAAGAACGCTTGCACTGTCATATTTAGCAGAAGTTATAAAAGATGCTAGTTTTCAAAGACCAGACGCCGATGTTTACGACAACGGAAAAGAGCATGAACAACAGATACAGTTTTCGCATAGCATATGTGCAACATCCGCTAAATTACCGTCAGCTTTGAACTGAATTTTTGTTCCTGTCTCCATAGCAAGCCTCTTGATGGTCTCGCCTCCTTTACCTATGATCATCCCAACACTAGCACGAGGAACAACTACCTAAAGTAAACGAAAACCCCTTTCGCTACCTCTAAATCATTGGCAGGTAAGGTAACCCACCTCTCCTTTTGCTGTGGCCTGTTCAGAATACAGCCGCGGTATGGTTCCATTATCTTCTCGTGAGTTGATCAAATCAGTTACAAGACGCTTAGCTATTTCAACCTACAAAAAAGCAATCTTCTACACGAACAAGAAGACACGAACGCACTTTCTCTGGGTCGCCAGTTATACGTAAAGGCTTTGCTTGACCAGTAACTTCTTGTGAATCTTGTATCATTACCATTTTGCACCCAGCTTGCTCCTAAACGAATCCGCATACGCATCAAACATACGGATGATATGCTATCTTACCTGAAGCTGCTTGATGGTTTCACCCATTTTACCAATAACAAGACCACATTTTGTAGCCGGTATGCTCATTTCAACGGTGATTGCACGTCCATCATTAGCTGTGAAATTCTGAGCTGAGGGTCGCGATGCTGCCCTCGTGATAACATCGGTTATCATTTGTTTAGCTCTTTCTACGGCCATCTATAACACCCATGAATACAGCATTCACTTGCAAA